AGGCCAGGAGAAAAACATAGAAAAGGGAGAAAAAGAAGGGAAGAAGAAGGCAGTTAGTCAGGGGCATGACCGTGTGACCCCCTAAGCATATGTTTCCTTGTCTCTGCTAGAAATAATAATAGTAGTAATGTCACAACTACTATTTATTGCTTACTGTTAAGATATTTTATAGGATGCTTTAAAAACACTCTCTTGACTAATCTACTCATTTCATTCAGCAAGCTTTGAGTCTATCACATTCTGACTACTATGCTAGAGTCTGGAGCATAATACTGTGTAAAAATACTGACAGTTCTGCCTTCATGAAGGTCACCCTCTTGTGAGATAAAATGATGATCAAATGATTCCTCAAATACAAGTAAAATTGCAAATAAGGAAAAATTTCTTGCCATGGGGGACAAGATAGAAATGGCGCCTCAAGAGGAGATTTCACCCAATCATGAGATAATAGAAAGCTTCCCCAAGGAGTATAATTGAGCTAGGATTCAAGTGATGAAATAGACATAAACTTGAAAAGATGATAAGCACTTGCTGGTTTGTGGGCACACAGCTTATTAAACAACAGCTGGGTAGATGTGGAGGTACTGAAAGAGACGTGGGGTGAGACACACTGAATATGCTGAGGATTCAGAAGAGGAGCATCCTCTTCCAGATGGCGGAACCGAGGAGTTGTCTTGCTGAAGGAAGCATTGAAAAGGGTCTTCATTGCAACAAGAGGGAGGGTCTGCCCCTGCGTGAAGCTCAGGTCTGGCCCTGGACACTACGGTGGGGTGGAGGGTGAGAAAGTCTGTGTGGTGATTTCACGGGCTATAAGAAAACTGAATTTCTGAACAGGGCAGGTGTGTCTGTCCATCATGGATAGCAAGGGTATCAGGGCAGTCTGTGCCTACTTGGCAGTCTTGGCACATGTCACCTGAAGACATCTGTCTGCTTCTGTTCCCATCCCAAATGTCACTCTGCTCGAGGTGGCCTTACCTTCTGCCAGGGAACACTGAGGAGGGAGCAGGGGCCAGCTTCCCTTTGACTTCTGCCTAGAACACTGTCAATATTAATTTAATTAGCATTTGTGTAATTATGACTTAATCATTTCCAAGTCTAATTTATTTTAATTTCATGTATGCTGATTTAATAATCAAAGGGTTTGTTGATACTTTTGTTTCCATTCAAAACATGATGTAGTTATCATCCATTTAAACCTATAATTTCCATCCCTCTCCAGAAAGACCTTGGAGTGTACAGTGATATGGCAAATTGGGATGGTCCATCTCATTTATAATTTTGCCTAATAGGTTTTTCTTTTATTTTGTTTGTAAGTTATCAAAGAGAACCCATTGTCACTGAAGCGATTGTAAAAATGGATGAGTTTGCTGTGAGCTTTTCTACCTCACTCAGTTTTGAAGTGAGTTTCAGAATAGATTTCATATATTAAGGTTTTAGGCTCCCAATGTAGTCAGGGACCTGAAAGCAGGATAATTTCATTATTAAGAGCACAGTCTTTGAAATCAAGCAGCCCAAGTTTGACATTGGAGACAGGGAAGGGTAAGTGGGTGGGAGGAGGGTGAAGAATAAAAAATTATTTAATGGGCACGAGGTACATTATTTGGGTGGTGGTTACACTAAAAGCCCAGACTTCACCACTAGGCAATGCATCCATGTAAGAAACTGCACTTGAACTCCTCAACCCTTTTCCCATTTGCAAAGTGTAGCTGACTGTCAGTGCACTTTTCTCCTAGCAAACAAGAAATTGATTAAATTTATACAGATAAATATTTATTCCTTAATTGTATGACCTTAGGCAGGTTAAAGAATCCCAATAAATTTCTGTATTTTTGTTTCACCCATTGCTTTCTTCATCCATAGAATGTGGACAATCATGTGACCTTATGGATTTGTTTGGCACTTACTGATCCATTTGTTATGCCTTGAATGCTCTAAGGAAATAAAATAGAGATAAATAAAGATTCAGTCAACATTCACTCAACCCTTATGAGTGGCTACTGTCTTTCTATTCAGTGTTTTTGTTTTGGTTCGGGTTTTTTTGTTTGTTTGTTTCTTTTTTTACATTCAAAATTCAGGAAATGCTTATTCAGTTTTATACATCCTCACTTTGCAGTTAATTTGTGGCAGGCATGAAACCAGATGAAAGAGATACTAGAAATAAGTAGGACACACACATTGCTCTCGCTCTCAGTCCAGAAGACCAGTACACACACACATAGTCGCAACACAATAAGCCAAGTGCAGTGATCGAGCCCAGTGGTTGCACTGTGTCCTAAAGGAGCTCAAGGAAGCTGTGACACTGAGCAGGAAGAGGCATTCAGGAAGGCTTTGAGGTAGCATTTACATCAGGCCTAGGGAGTAAGTAGGAATTGCTATTCCACATAGAACAGAAAGCAAGTGCAAAGGCTAGCTCAGCACTGATGTGCTTCTGAAAATTGCTCAGAAACCTTGGGCCTCCCAGATCCTTAGGAACTGTCAAAGGGAAGACTGTGCCAAATCAGCCTATTGGAGGTGTTTGCTCTTGGCTTAGAGAGTTTGTTCAAGAGTCCCCATGACAATAGATGTCACACTCAATTCCTGAAGTCCTTGTCCTTATTGATTTCCCATCCATTCAGAGGCAAGTATACTCATGGAGATTTACAGTGACCAATAGTGACAGCCTGAGGAAGCTTCCCACAGGAGCTGGCCCATTTCCAAAATATTCCCTGTTCGTTCCTTCACAAGATGGTTTTTTTTGAGACATCTTGGACTAGTGTCTAAGGGTCTCATATCAATCAGGGTATAAGCATTTTATATTAGGTAAATTAAAATCTTGATTCTCTGCATGGTTTTAACAATTACCTATCTTTTTCTTGACAATCTGTGTATATTTATTAGCAGATTCAGTTACATGATAGAATCCCGCCTTGACCAGGGACCCAGAAAAGTCCAAATGGACTGTTCCTTCCTGTACTCTTCTTCCTCTCTCAGGTGCTTCCTCACCCCACTTTTCTATCCCCAGTGCATTCCTTGTCAGCATATGTGATCATCCTTTCGATAATGCCAGGATCAAGAGATTGCAAACAAATTTTGAAGAATGACAATATAAAGTATCGTTAGGGATATCAGATAACATGTACCCTCCTATAATGCCAATGGAAGTAAACGTGGTACAACCCCAGGTGGAATAATTTAGCTATACGTATCAAACACCATAATCTAATTCGATGTGACAAGGTACTACCACTTCTAGGAGTGCCTCTTAAGTAAAGCTTTAGCTTTAAGATTTAAACTTAACTTTATCTTAATTTTAACTTAAATATTTATCTTATGCTGGGTGTGGTGCTTCATGCCTGTAATCCCAGCACTTTGGGAGGCTGAGGCAGGTAGATCAATTGAGCTCAGGAGGTTGAGACAAGCTTAGGCAACATGGCGACAGTCCATCTCTACCAAAAATATAAAAATCTTCCAGGTGTAGTGGCATGTACCGTGGTCCTAGCTGCTTGGGCTGAAGTGGGAAGACTGTTTGAACCTGGGAGGTTGACACTGCAATGAGCCCAAATCATACCACTGTACTCTAGCCTGGGCAACAGAGCAAGATCCAATGTCATAAATAGGTAGGTAGGTAGATAAAAATTTGCATATCTATTTAACTACAGATAGGATCTGGCCCTCATTAATTAAAATAATAAAAAAAATTAAGCCCCTATTAGCATGAATTATCACAAATTACAATATAGTAGAAAAGAAAATATTGGCCTATATTACTGAATAATTTTTTTATTACGTTGAAAAAAGTGCATGTCATACTGGTAAGTAACAAAAGCAGGTTATAAAACTATATGCCAAGTATGATATTATTCAATTTTTTTTTAAATAGAACTTTCCTACTTTTTATAATAGATTTAGATAAAATATATAGAAGATATAGTCATATTTTTTCCTTCTCTATGCTTTTTAAGATGTCTTTTTTAACAAGCAAATATTAATTTTGATACCAGAAGAAAATAAGACAATTTCCTTTTTAAAAAAAAAAAAAAATACATGCTTACCTCCAGTCAAATCTGGCATTGGTCTTACTAAGAAAGTGCTCTAGAAACTCTCTTTATCATTGCTTTTCAGCTAGAGTCAGGACTCCAGATCTGTCTTCAGAATTCTGAGTGGATGGCCTCCTCTAGAGAATGACTAGGCTTTTCCCCAGGAAATACGGAAATGATTCCCTTCTCTCTACTACTGGTGAGCCAGGTACTTAGTAGACCCTTGAGAAACTGGACTTGGGAGTTGGGGGTAATGGTTTTTATTTTTCCATTTGTTCTAGGCGTATTTTTCATGTCTAAAAGATGGCCTTATATTCTGATCATTTGACATCAATTTTTAACACATGCATGTATTGTCTGGTAAGTGACATGTGGCTTCTGGTGATTTAAATAAACTATTGTTCTACTGTAATTCCTTTACAGTTGCCCAAATCTAGATTTTAATATCTTCAACATGCAGGTAGAATGAAAAAAATCTCTTTAAAGAAGCAGCCACTGCTTCTTCCTGCTGCAATTCATTTTGTAGCCCAGAGCTTAATCTAATCTTCCTTCCACATGATCCGTTGAACTTTTGGAACTTCAGATCTGTATTAGAAAAGGAATTATAAGAACAGTCATATGTTCAGCTCTTATTAGGCTTTGCTGTAATCTCTTTATGCTGAAGAAAGAAGAGGAAGGCTTTTCTTATGTTACTGTTGTTCCTGTGTAATATCCTCTCTTGTGGATTCATAATTAAGGCAACAATATGCATTAATAAGCATTTTCTACCAATTTATAACTTACCAGGTGATTTTATACTTATTACCTCATCTGATCCTTATCATCACTCTTGAGTATGATAGTATCATTATTGCCTTTCTATAGTCAAGGAAACTGAAGCACAAAGAGGTTATCTGCTCAAATATAGTTCAGGGCTCATTTGATTGCAAAGCCAGAAGCACAAATCCAATTACAGGTTTTGATCGACTTATGACCTATGCAACTTACGACCATTCGACTTTACGACCACAATCACTAGCCACGACTGCTCCGCGTCTGGCAGCACAAGCATTGCCCAGCTGGGCATACGACAGTGCGGACCAGCTTCCGGCAGCACTACCATCTCCGCCTGCACCATTTCAGCTGTTATCCCAGATGATACAAATGGCATAAAATGAACAAAGAAAATTATGATATATAACAATAATGAAAGAAAATTATGATAAAAGGTGACAAAGATTTTTATTTTTATATTTTTCCCCATTTATTTATTTTATTGCATTTTAGGTTTTGGGGTACATGCAAAATTGTTGCATAGGTACACACATGGCAGTGTGATTTGCTGCCTTCCTCCCCATCACCTACATCTGGCATTTCTCCCCTTGCTATCTCTCTCCAACTCCCCACCCCTCACCGTCCCTCCCCTATTTCCCCCCAACTGACCCCAGTGTGTAGTGCTCCCCTCCCTGTGTCCATGTGTTCTCATTGTTCAACACCCGCCTATGAGTGAGAACATGCGGTGTTTGATCTTCTGCTCTTCTGTCAGTTTACTGAGAATGATGGTTTCCAGGTTCATCCATGTCCCTACAAAGGACCCAAACTCATCGTTTTTGATGGCTGCATAATATTCCATGGTGTCTATGTGCCACATTTTCCCTATCCAGTCTATCGTCGATGGGCATTTGGGTTGGTTCCAGGTCTTTGCTATTGTAAACAGTGCTGCAATGAACATTCGTGTGCACGTGTCCTTATAGTAGAACGATTTGTAATCCTTTGGATATATACCCAGTAATGGGATTGCTGGGTCAAATGGAATTTCTATTTCTAGGTCCTTGAGGAATCACCACACTGTCTTCCACAATGGTTGAACTAATTTACACTCCCACCAACAGTGCAAAAGTGTTCCTATTTCTCCACATCCTCTCCAGCATCTGCTGTCTCCAGATTTTTTAATGCTCACCATTCTAACTGGCGTGAGATGGTATCTCAATGTAGTTTTGATTTGCGTTTCTCTGATGACCAGTGATGGTGAGCATTTTTTCATATGTTTGTTGGCCTCATATATGTCTTCTTTTGTAAAGTGTCTGTTCATATCCTATGCCCACTTTTGAATGGGCTTGTTAGTTTTTTCTTGTAAATCTGTTTTAGTTCTTTGTAAATTCTGGATATCAGCCCTTTGTCAGATGGGTAAACTGCAAAACTTTTTCCCATTCTGTAGGTTGCTGATTTACTCTAATGACTGTTTCTTTTGCTGTGCAGAAGCTGTAGAGTTTGATTAGGTCTCATTTGTCTATTTTGGCTCTTGTTGTCTATGCTTTTGGTGTTTTGGTCATGAAGTCTTTGCCTACACCTATGTCCTGAATGGTTTTGCCTAGATTTTCTTCTAGGGTTTTTATGGTGTTAGGTCTTATGTTTAAGTCTTTAATCCATCTGGAGTTAATTTTAGTGTAAGGTGTCAGGAAGGGGTCCAGTTTCTGCTTTCTGCACATGGCTAGCCAGCTTTCCCAACACCATTTATTGAACAGGGAATCCTTTCCCCATTGCTTGTTTTTGTCTGGTTTGTCAAAGATCAGATGGTTGTAGATATGTTGTGTTGCCTTTGAGACCTCTGTTCTATTCCATTGGTCTATATCTCTGTTTTGGTAGCAGTACCATGCTGTTTTGATTACTGTAGCCTTGTAGTATAGTTTGAAGTCCGATAGTGTGATGCCTCCCGCTTTGTTCTTTTTGCTTAGAATTGACTTGGCTATGCGGGCTCTCTTTTGGTTCCATATGAAGTTTAAGGTGATTTTTTCCAGTTCTGTGAAGAAGGTCATTGGTAGCTTGATGGGGATAGCCTTGAATCTGTAAATTACTTTGGGCAGTATGGCCATTTTCACGATATTGATTCTTCGTAACCATGAACATGGAATGTTTCTCCATCTGTTTGTGTTCTCTCTTATTTCGTTGAGCAGTGGCTTGTAGTTCTCCTTGAAGAGGTCCTTTACGTTCCTTGTTAGTTGTATTCCTAGGTATTTTATTCTCTTTGTGGCAATTGTGAATGGAATTTTGTTCTTGATTTGGCTCTCTTTAAGTCTGTTATTGGTGTATAGGAATGCATGTGATTTTTGCACATTGATTTTGTATCGTGAGACTTTGCTGAAGTTGCTTATCAGTTTCAGGAGATTTTGGGCTGAGATGATGGGGTCTTCTAGATATACAATCATGTCGTCTGCAAATAGAGACAATTTGACTTCCTCCTTTCCTATTTTAATACCCTTTATTTCTTTTTCTTGCCTGATTGCTCTGGATAGAACTTCTAATACTATATTGAATAGCAGTGGTGAGAGAGGGCATCCTTGTCTGGTGCCACATTTCAAGGGGAATGCTTCCAGTTTTTGCCCATTCAGTATGATATTGGCTGTTGGTTTGACATAAATAGCTTTTATTATTTTGAGATACGTTCCATCAATACCTAGCTTATTTAGGGTTTTTAGCATAAAGGGCTGTTGAATTTTGTCAAAGGCCTTCTCTGCATCAATTGAGATAATCATGTGGTTTTTGTCTTTGGTTCTGTTTATGGGGTGAATTACGTTTATAGACTTGCGTATGTTGAACCAGCCTTGCATCCCTGGGATGAAGCCTACTTGATCATGGTGGATAAGATTTTTGATGTGCTGTTGCAATCGGCTTGTCAGTATTTTATTGAAGATTTTTGCATCTATGTTCATCATGGATATTGGCCTGAAGTTTTCTTTTCTTGTTGAGTCTCTGCCAAGTTTTGGAATCAGGATGACGTTGGTCTCATAAAATGATTTGGGAAGAATTCCCTCTTTTTGTATTGTTTGGAATAGTTTCAGAAGGAATGGTACCAGCTCCTCTTTGTATGTCGGGTAGAATTCGGCTGTGAACCCGTCTGGACCTGGGCTTTTTTTGGGTGGTAAGCTCTTAATTGCTGCCTCAACTTCAGACCTTGTTATGGTCTGTTCAGGGTTTGAACTTCTTCCTGGTTTAGGCTTGGGAGGAGGCAAGTGTCCAGGAATTTATCCATTTCTTCCAGGTTTATTAGTTTATGTGCATAGAGTTGTTTGTAATAATCTCTGATGATGGTTTGAATTTCTGTGGAATCTGTGGCGATATCCCCTTTATCGTTTTTTATGCATCAATTTGGTTATTCTCTCTTTTCTTTTTTATTAATCTGGCTAGTGGTCTGTCTATTTTGTTGATCTTTTCAAAAAACCAGCTCCTGGATTTATTGATTTTTTGAAGGGTTTTTTGTGTCTCTATCTCCTTCAGTTCTGCTCTGATCTTAGCTATTTCTTGTCTTCTGCTAGACTTTGAGTTTTTTTGATCTTGCTCCTCTAGCTCTTTCAGTTTTGATGATAGGGTGTCAATTTTTGATCTCTCCTTGCTTCTCATGTGGGCACTTATTGCTATATATTTTCCTCTAGAGACTGCTTTAAATGTGTCCCAGAGATTCTGGTATGTTGTGTCTTCATTCTCTTTGGTTTTGAAGAACATCTTTATTTCTGTCTTCATTTCATTGTTTATCCAGTCAACATTCAAGAGAAAGTTGTTCAGTTTCCATGAAGCTGTGTTGTTCTGGGTTAGTTTTTGAATTCTGAGTTTGACTTGATTGCACTGTGGTCTGAGAGACTGTTTGTTACGATTTCTGTTCTTTTGCATTTGCTGAGGAGTGATTTACTCCCAATTATGTGGTCAATTTCAGAGTAGGTGTGATGTGGTGCTGAGAAGAATGTATATTCTATGGATTTGGGGTGGAGAGTTCTGTAAATGTCTATTAGGTTTGCTTGGTCCAGGTCTGAGTTCAAGTCCTGGATATCCTTGTTAATTTTCTGTCTGGTTGGTCTGTCTAATGTTGACAATGGGATATTAAAGTCTCCCACTATTATTGTGTGGGAGTCTAAGTCTCTTTGTAAGTCATTAAGAACTTGCCTTATGTATCTGGGTGCTCCTGTATTGGGTGCGTATATATTTAGGATCATTAGCTCTTCTTGTTGCATTGATCCTTTTACCATTATGTAATGTCCCTCTTTGTCTCTTATGATCTTTGTTGCTTTAAAGTCTAATTTATCAGAGATGAGAATTGCAACTCCTGCTATTTTTTGCTCTCCATTTGCTTGGCAAATCTTCCTCCATCCCTTTATTTTGAGCTTTTGTGTATCCTTGCATGTGAGATGGGTTTCCTGAGATTATATTCCTTTCTATTTTGTCCATTCTTGTTAGCATTTCATCAAATCTTTTTTCAAGGTTCTTAGTTTCTTTGCATTTGGTTAGAACATGTTCTTTAAGTTAACAGAAATTTCTTACTACCCACCTTCTGAAGTCTGATTCTGTCATTTCATCGCACTCGTTCTACTTCCAACCTTGTTCCCTTGCTGGTGAGGAGTTGTGATCCCTTTTAGGAGGAGAGGTGTTCTGGTTTCGGGTGTTTTCATCCTTTTTGCACTGGTTTCTTCCCATCTTTAAGGATTTATCCACCTGTTGACTTTGTAGTTGCTGGCTTTCATATTGGGGTCAAATATTTCAGATTGACGTTCTGTTTGTTGATGATGAGGTTATTTCTGTTTCTTGGTTTTCCTTCTGACAGTCTGGCTCCTCTGCTGTAGGTCTGCTGAGGTTCACTCCAGGCCCTGCTTGCCTGGGGTTCATCTGCAGCAGCTGCTGAACAGTAACGGTTGTTACCAGGTTTCTTCTGCTGCTATCTTTGTCCCAGAAGGATACCCGCCTAGTTTCAATCTGATCTCTCCTTTATGAGGTGGCTCTTTGGATATATAGGGGTCAGGGAGCTGCTTGAGGAGATGGTCTCTTCTTTATAGGAGCTCAAATGGTGAGCTGTGAGCTCTGTTCATTCAGAGCTGCTGGGCAGGTACGTTTAGGTCTGCTGCAGCAGAACTCATAAACTGCTTTTTGTTCCCAGGTGCTCTGTCCCAGGGATTTAGGGCTTTATGAGTTTTGGTTATGCTGCTGACTTCTCTCTCTTTTTTTTTTTCCTTCAGACCTGCCCTGCCCAGCAATGAGGCAGCCTAGTCACTGTCGGCCTATAGCAGCTTTGCTGAGCTGCTGTGGGCTCCGCCCCGCTGCCGAGTGAACTTCCCAGCAGTCCTGTTTATATGGGTGTAGTTAGAACTGCTTTGGCGATGGTGGCCCGCCTCTGTTGAGGTGGAGTCTCTCTGCAGTGGTGGGTTGCCTTGGCAACAGCAGGCTGCCTCAGCAATGGCGGGTTGCCTTGGCAACGACGGGCTGCCTCGGTAATGGCGGACGCCCCTCCCCCACAGAGCTGGACCGTCCCGGGCTCAGCTGCGCTTGCTGTGAAACTCTCAATCCAGAGTTTCTGGTTGCTGTTCTTTTGTGGGGGTGGGACCAGCCGAGCCTGATCGCCTGGCTCCCTGCCTCAGAGCCTTTTTTGAGTTGGTGTTCCAGTCGCCTGTTGAAGAGGCGCCGGGGTCTGTTTGTTTTCCCCTGCGGCCACTCACTGCGCTGGCTTGAACAGCGGCACTGAGGTTTGTGGCACTTTTTTATTTTATATTTTTTATTTTTTTGCCCTGCAATCTACTGTCCTGATTCTCTGCTCAGTCCCCTTTTTAAACAGACGAATGGGCGACTTCCCATGGCTCCAATCGCCAGCCAAAAGGGCACCCGGACTGGTGTATTTTGTATGGAGAACCGCTGCTCTGGGGCGCCGACAAAGCAGCCGTGCGGGGCCGAAACAGCCACGCTGGTGACCTGTGGAGCTCCTCCACCTGGGAATTTCCTAGTCTGTGGGCAATAAAAATGCGGCATCCACTCACCCTCTGCGCTTTTACTGGGAGCTGCAATCCTGAGCTGTTCCTAAACGGCCATCTTGGATCCTCTCTCTGACAAAGATTTTTATAACATCATTTCACAGTACTGTACATACAGTATAGCCTACTCAACTTACGACCAAATTGTGTTACAACTGGTCTGTCGGAACCAATCGTGGTCTAAGTCGAGCACTAGCTGTACTTTAAGAAAAAGTGGGAATTTATTAACTTGCATAACTATAATGTCCAAGGGTAGGACCAGCTTCAGGCACAGATGAATTCACGTGCTCCAATGATATTGTCAGACTCATCCACTATCTCTGGGCTCTGTTTTCTCTATGTTGGCTTTTTCCCTAGTAGATTCTTCCCAGATAGTGTCTAGATGGCCGCCTATGGCTCCAGTATATGTCCTAGCAATTTAACAACCCAAAAAGAAAAACTTCTATTTCCTAATTATTTTACCCAAATTGCCAAGACTGTCTGCTTCTTTTGCCCACTGCACCTGTCATTAGGAAATGGAATGTTCTGATTAGCAGGCCTTGGGGTGGAGTGAGGTCAGCCCTACCACATGATCTGAACTGAGAGTAGGGGAATGGGGTTACTTAAAATGAAACAAGGTGATGTTTGCAGAAGGAAACATGAACAAGAGGCAGATTGGAATGCCAGCTCTCTGCCGTACCAAGTCAGGTGGCTAACAAGTGGTAGCGAAGGCTGCAGCCCATTTGCTGGTGTTCATCCCGGAATGCTAGAACATGACATCCAAACTCTAGGAGTCTTTGCAGGAAATCTGAAGAAAGACTAGAAACCACAGCCTCTGCAGAGATTCTCAAATCATGCTCTCTGATCCCCAACCCTTAGTGTTTTGACCACTAGAGTATTTGGATTAAACGTTATCCTCAGAATTAATATATACATAGACATACACACATACGTAATGGCTTATTTACATGACCACTTTCCAAACACATATGTATAGCTATGATTAGTAAAATATAAATTCATTTTAAAACATCCCTAAATTCACGGTGGTTTTTAGTCCTTACGTACATGCTTAATATATATTAAAAGGTTATTATCCTTTGTGCAGTGTTTTCAGAAAATTTTCCTCATTAGAACAGCATCTTTAAACACAAATTACTTAGGAAGTCTTGGAATATTGAAAGAACTCAAAGACAAGGGTTAGAAACTCATATCTGACACTATTTCTAGGGATGAAATTTTTCTTGGACTTCAGTTTCCTGATCTGTACTCTGAGGATAGATTGTCCTGCCCACAAAGCTTGTAGTGAGGTTCATGTGGGGGAATGTCACTGGAACTCTTAAGAAATATATTTTTTAACTTCTAAAATATCACTGATATTTTATTTTTTCTTCACTCTGTGCTCAAGGATGTTGCTCTTAAAGTGTTCTGTAAACCACTAATGGCCCATGATGCAAAATGTGCTTGTCTATTTCTAATATAATTGTGCAGATCAATGAAGGTCTGTCCTCTTCTATGATGAGAAGCAGGCTTATAGATTTTGTTTTAAAGACAGCCTTCTCCAAGGGTATATATTCCAGGAAGCATATTTTATCTTTCTCATGCCTCAAACACCCTAGAGACTATAGAAAATACTCAACTATTCAAAATTTCTGTTTAATTTTTCTACTGAAGTCTAACACTGAGAAAAGTACGTGTATTCAAAATACGCATCAGAGAAATCTTTTAAAACTTAACATACTGGTACAACCAGCACACAGATCAAGAAAGAGAGCATTAACAGTTCTCCATCAGCATATTTTGTGGCCCCTTTTCAGTTCATACCCTCACCCAAAGATAACCATTACCCTGACTTCTAATAGCACAATTATGTTTCACCTGTTCTTTAAAAAAATACACATTAATGAAGTCGTCTTGTATCTGGTGTCTCTCTATATATATATTGCATTTGAAAGATTCATCCATTTGGTTGTGTAAAGTGACAAATTATTCATTGCCATTTAGTATTCTGGGGTGTGTGTGTCTGTGTGTGTGTACATTTATATCAATATTTATCCTATTCACAGGTATTTGTCTGGGGCTGTTCCAAATAGCACTACCATCAACATTTTCTATAGATCTTTAGGTGAACCCATGTGTGCAATTCTATTGGGTCTCAGTGAATACAGTTCAGCTTTAGTAGATACTGCTAAAAGTTTTCCAAAGCAGTTGCAATGGTTTATGCTCCCACCAACAGTGTAAGAAAGTTTTGTTTTTCTATGGGCTTACTGATATTTGGTATGTTCTGTCTCTTAGGTTTCAGCCCTTCTAGTGGATTTGCATTGCTTTAATTTACAATTTGCATTGTTTTCATTTGCACTTCCCTTATAAAAAATTAAGTTGCAGGAGCTTTTCATATGTTTATTGGATATTTGGACATCCTCTTTGGTGGGCACTTGTTCAAATAATTTGCTTATTATTTTTAATTCTTTTTTATTTGGGTTTCTACCTTCTTATTTATTTATTTATTTTGAGATGGAGTCTCATGCTGTCACCCAGGCTGGAGTACAATGGCGCAATCTTAGCTCACTGCAATCTCCACCTCCTGGGTTCAAGTGATTCTCCTATCTCAGCCTCCTGAGTAGCTAGGATTACAGGCTCATGCTACCACACCTAGCTAATTTTTTTATTTTAGTAGAGACGGGGTTTCATCACGTTGTTCAGGCTGTTCATGAACACTTGAGCTTAGACAATCCAGCCACCTTGGCCTCCCAAAGTGCTAGGATTACAGGCATGAGCCACTGCACCTGACCTATCTTCTTACTAGTTTGTGAGAAGCAGTCAACCATTTGCTGTGCCTGTTTCATTGAAGACTTTTTTTTTAAGTTTCTATATTTAAAAAATATATGAAATCCATTAAATGTCTTCCAACAACCATGTAATGTTATTAATTTTCAATTCTTTGAACAGAACATCTATTTAGCACCTTATATTTAAAGAACACCAACTATTAGATATACAATGATGAATAAAACAAACATGGCCCCCATCCATATGGCAGTTACCATTAGACAATAAACAAATACATACATAATTGAAAACCATGGCCAATTACAAAAATTCCATGAAGGATTCAAACAGGGTGGAAAGATTGAACAGAGGGTATCTTCTCAGTTCCAAAGACTTGCATGGTCTTTAATCTGAGACACGAAGGCCAAGAAAGATTCAATGCAAAAGGGAGGATGAATGCTTCAGGCAGATAGAATATCATGTGCTATTCCTCAAGGTGAGAAAACATTTTTTATGCTCTAAAACTTGAAAGGAGGTCATGTGTCTAGAGCAGGGGTTGGCAAACTTTTTCTGTAAAGGGCCAAATAAGAAATATTTTAAGCCTTGCAGGCCAGATGGTCTCTGTTGCAACCAGCTACTCAACTCTGCTGTCATAGCATGAAAGCCGCTATAGACAATATGTAAACAAATAGGCATGGCTGTGTTCCAGTAAAACTTTATTTACAAAACAGGCTGTGGGCCAAATTTGGTCCATATATCGTAATTTGCCAATACCCAGTCTGGATCATAGAGAATAATGTCAGCCTCTTGACTGAACCAGCTCAATAGGCTCCTTCCAGTTTTTGCTCTTACTCCTCTATACAGTATCCAGAACAAATGTTTTAAAGTCCTCACTAAGATAATGATGCTTTTCTCTGATTAAAGCTTTCCAGAAGCTTCCTGTTACATAGACTAAAATCTAAAGCTGAGATGACTCAGACTTAGATGATGTGGGATTTCTGAGCTATTGTGAATAGCCTGGATCTCAGAGTGAGACAATGAACTTTCCTTTATATCTTTTTGCTTGAGATCTGGTGATGGCTAAGGGCAGGGAAGAAAAGGAGGGAATATGAGATGGTCACCAGCTGCTCTTCAGCTGAAAATAATCTCTTCCTTTTCTGAAATCCGATACTTGCCTTACTTTGTGCACTTATCATCCACTCCCTGTTACATATTAATACACAAAGCTCTCTACTTGCTCTTTTGTTTGATCTAGCCTAGCATACATGGTCTAGTAGCAGATGTGTGAGATTCAATGAGTGGATGAATTAATGAAGTGATGAGTATGAATTGTACTCTACTGCTTCACTCACAGTAAATAGGTGAATAAGGGAATGAATAAATTAGATTTTAGAGAAGAAAGCAGTACCAAAGAGGATCCTGGAGTTTCAGTTTAGGAATAGGTGTGTTATAATCAGAAATTGGGAAGTCAGTGGGAGGTCCTGGTTTGTCACATCACAGACATGATGAGTCTCTAGTATGGAGCATCAGCAGTGCCCAGGGGATGGGTAAAAATGAGTTCTGGAGCTTGGGGAAGAGAGATTGGCTGGACCTAGAGATATGGAATAAGGTTAAAGAGTTAAAGCTAAAATGGATTAGATGCTCAGATTCAGAGATAAACACAGTCCAAGGACAAAAAGTATGTTGAGAGGAAGGATGGGAAAAATAGAAAACTTTCCATCAATGGCAAAATTGTATTTTTAGTAAAGATGGGTTTTCATGATGTTGGCCAGGCTCGTCTTGAACTCCTGACCTCCGGTGATCCACCCGCCTCAACCTCCCAAAGTGCTGGGATTACAGGCATGAGCCACTGTGCCCAGCTGCAAAATTGAATAAGTACAAGATTTCTAGATTTCCAAATAATAACGTTACTCAATAGGAATGAAGGTCTGAATAGCCCCCAAGGTCAATGCTAGTTATGCACTGACTTTGGTATAAAGTTCTAATAGGGAGAAGGCATTAATCTAGACTCCTAATAAGATATTCATTTTTTTAAATTGAAAATTAACCATCTTTTTTTGATCACAATGCTATACTGTGAAAGAGCAAAAAATAACACATTCTTAAAAACTAGATTTGGAATCAGGTACAGCTTGGGTTCAAGTGCTGACCCTATCACTCACTAGCCATTTGACCCTGGGCAACTATCTTTAACTTCTCTGAGTTTCAGTTTCTACATCCTTAAAGTGAAATGGTAATAGTACTTTCTTCAGAAAAGTAAGGACTAAATCAGATGATGTATATAAAAGACCCTGTCACCTGCAGGACACAAAGAAATAGATGTTAGCAATTAGGGCTTTAAAAAGTCTTCATCATCATGGCAGTGAGCTCTGTCTCTGGAAGTTCTTGATTACAGCAGACCAAACAGCATAAACG